AAGGGCACTGATTTTTTTGCGTGAGTGCCGTGCTTTGCGCGCTTTGGCGTGCTGTCTCGGGGGAAGGGCACCGACAGTCAGCCCGTGGTACCAATGCGCCATCCAAAAGTAAACCAACAGTTATAAGTGAGTTTACTTCATCGTATCTGATGCTTGCTTCGATGTTTTCCAATGTGGAACATTTTCATCAAGTATGAGTGATGCAATTATTGATTATATTAATATATTTGTATATAATGATAAATGATAATATGAATAATAACTGAAAATAATAGATAGGATTAAATATGCATCATTTTTGTAATATTATGGATATATATATATACACCCATATATATATATATATATATATATATATATATATATATATATATATATATATATATTGTAAAGAGATCGCTGATTTTGGGCAGCGCATCACTAGACCACCGTTCTTAGAGACCTCGACCTCTTTCCTGACGTTGCCGACAATCCTCCCGGGAAAGAACTCTGCCAAACACACTGGCCTTGATTTTCCCATTGACTAACTGGCGAATTTCACATCTAATTTGCTGCGGCCAGGGCGTTTAAGCACCACCTTTGACAACCTTCTCTGTGCATTACTGATATGTGAGTCTCAAAAGCGGTTAGGAACAATAAAGCAAGAGAGCCGAACATATGCAGCCAGTGGCATGCATCAATAATGGGATCAATCACGCTTAAAGGAAATGTTCCACATTTGAGGTGCACTTTTAAGTGGAAAAGCCTGCTCTAGACGACACAATTTACCTGCTTAGTGAATATGCTCCTCAATACGTCACTGTTTGATTGCGTGATCACACCTTGCACAACATTGGTTGAAAGTCATTGATGGCCATTATATCTGGAAATCCCGCTCGCGAACGCCAGATATGACCGACTCGACATTTATAATTGTCTTGGCCTTGTTCGCCGCATGGCCAATGTAATGGCAGAATTTGAATGGCGTTATCATGGCGTCATGGAAATCCGAGTGACCTTGATATAGTCTCCCCGAAGTAGTCCGCACATTTTCCCGGGTTTGTAGCTCAGAATCTAGAGTTTTAAGTCTTTACAAGGGCAGGAATGTAAACTGCACCAAATGATCTGCCAGTTGGCTATTTTGGTTTAAACTCCAATATGAATATGAAGCACTCCGCTTAACTGGCCGAATTCTTGACCTCGGTATCCGACGTAACATGACGTGCGCGGGCGTGCTCACAGGTGACCTCACAGAGGGAGGTCCTTCGAATTCTCCCGCGCGATGGCTCACCAGTCGCCACCAATGGGAAAGGCACGGGGCATGGTAAATCACGTTTGGTAGCCAGAAGACAAATGGGAGCAATTATTGCCGACGGTTTCATCATCAGGAGGTGTGGTGAATCCGTTGATATGTGTCGCCTTTGTGGATTATGTTGAGTTCATCGGGGTTGTGATACATTTGTACAATTTTCCATTTAGCTATCATAACTGTGGGCGATATGATTATCGCTCGACATTTTTTGTACTGAACGTTGTTCATTTTATTGGCGCTTAGGCAGAGAAAACCCGTCAGCTGGCTGTTGATATAGTGTCAAATCTCTCATGCTGCTAACCCGCCTCACATCTGGCTACCTCAGCGGCATACAGTCACTCAAAATACGATACATTCAAGGCAATGCTGACGTCGTTTCGCCGACCATACTAGTCTAACGCAGCCATTGCCTGATCACTTGCAAAATGTTGAGAGAACCTCGGCGCAATCCCTTGTGATGAGAGCCGAAAACCTATCGCAAGATTTTGTCGCGCTTGTTCTAGAAAAGTGCCACCGTGCTACGGTGTGATTTTCAGGACTCCGTAATTATGTGAAGGATGATCCAGAGTGTATGTGTTTTGGCAGCTAAGGAGATATACAGAGACTAAAGCATTGGATTGGTAGCGCTAATTGCGATTCGAAATACATCATATTTGACAAAGGATATATTGTAGGAACAGGAAAGCTTTTTCATCTGCAACAGTAAAGATGCAATACCAACGCTATTCAAGGTTCTAGGCTCATGTTGCTATGCATTAAGTTAACGGAGAATTAAACGCGGTGCGCCCCCCCCCCCCCCCCCTCCCGCCCCATGACCGGCTAGAGCAGTTCTAAGACAGTTATAAATATCACTAAATATTTGTCAAACTTTACATTGCTTGTTTGAATGCTGTAGGTAACAATTTGAGAAGACATTGTGGAGGTGCAAAGAGCAGTCTTGCATCTATTCTTGTCGTGCAGTTCCCGACCTGCTTTATGGTGTATGATGTCTCTTGTGTCTACGCCCACCCCTGTGAACCGTCATCAAACTAGCACCGACCTAGCTCTAACTATGGACCGAGCTGCTTAAAAATGTTTTTAAGATGGTTTCTTTTGCTATTAAAGCTTAGGCAGTTAAAATTAGGCATACGCCAAAATGGCCAGGAGCGTGACTATGTGATGAAAGCATTACGCCATCAAGCATTTCCAAAGGAAAAGCGAATCCGTCCTGATGCCGCTGTCACCTACGGAAATCAATTAAAATCCGATTGATTTCTAGTTCCTTCTATGAGTTGAAACATCCAAGGGGTTGACGCCTAAAAACGGTGAAAACGAAAGCGATGGTGATTGTACCAAATCTTGCGCCAAAAGGTTATTAAAATTAAAACTTCTAGTGCGCATTTCTTTCATTATCACAAATCCGTCACAATGGCTTAGCTCTGTGCATTATTTCATTGTGTTGCTTGCAGATGATCGCGTAAGTTAACCACATTTTGAGGACCACGGCATCATCACAAACAAGCAATGAAAGCTTTTCTCCACAGAACACCATGCTGCGTGGACACAGCCAGGCATCGCACTTTCGACTGGTTGGCCTGCTAATTGTGCAGTGGGCTTTTGCAGTAGTGTTGGTATATTGCGAATATTTATGTATTAGTATCTCTTTTAAAGTTTTAGTTTCTTGTATTATGTACGGTAGTGGCCATATTGCATCGTGAATTATAGTATATTGTATAGTGTACTTGCCATGTTGTAATATGCATTGCAGGATATGGTATAGCGTGATAAAGTATATTGTGTGGTAGCCTTTGCTGACTCACCGAGACCTTGTCAGCCCGAATAGAAATTATATTGCATATGCATATTGCATATTGCAATGCATAAGGCTTAAAATTCCGTTTGGTGATAAACATTGTGAAAGTTATGATAACCCTTGATCATAAATCTCTTAGATAACTATAGCAAAAGTATTCAAAACCTAGTCACGTCAATCACGCATATTGACGACAAGTATCACCACAAGTGACCATTGATTTTCTTTACAGGCACCTGCACTGTATGGATACAGCCTGGCATTACGCCTGCAGTTGATGGGTACCCGAGGCCAAGCGGCACCAAAGAGAAACACCGCAGACCTCGTCGCGGTATACAATGGAAATGGAAAACAGTCGGTCCGATGGACTACGACGCAAGCGTGAACATGTCTAAAAATAGCTCCACGTAGGGCATTACTGTCGTACCCGCTAGTCGGGGTCCACTTTCTGGAATTGCAACAGCGCGCCCACTCATGTGTGCCGTTCCGGTTTTCATGCGCCATGCAGTGCACATCGCGCGCGGACGAGGCATTTGAAAATGAGCAATCACATTCATCAAGTTGACGGTGAAAGAAGACACGTGTACCATCACCGGCGACGGCAGTCTTGCCCGCCAACGGGAAATGATGATGATCGCTAAGCATGCAACGCCTAGAGCACGCCGAGGCGTCGGTCGGGCCATCCTGTATATTTGAGCTGCTCCGCGGGTGTCATCACACGCGCCGCCGCCCGAGCTGTCGGGCGGCGGTGCGTTCTCGGTGCAAACTATCCCATTATGAACGGCGGCGGTGGCGCGGCCGGGCCCTCCCAAAGGTAATAGGGGCGGCAGGACGGCTCCGCCGCCCCGTTCGCCGGGCCGATCAATAGCGAAATAGAAACCGCCGCCGTCGTGACCGCGTCGAACCGGCCCAGAGACGGGGCAGCGCCGACCCGTCCGGGTGCGGACGGCCGAAGGCGGTCCCGGCCGGGCGGGTGCGGTCGCTGGGCCCATGACGTGTGCTGACAGCCAGCACTGGACACGCAGTGGGTGGGGCTGGCCCGTTGCAGTGTCAGCAGCTGAATGCCTGGTGCACTTTTAGCCCATCAGGCCAATGGGAAGATATATGATGCCCATCAGGCGTCGCCCGGCATGTGGGTGACGAAGTTATTTGCTAATATCTTCAGCTGGAAGACGTCTGCATGAAAATATATCGCCAAGGTAGGAAGATATAATGTAACATTTAACTAGGGTGATAAGGTCATGTTGATAAAACCATGTGGTTAAAAAGTGGTGACGCATTGCTTACGCATGGCTCTGTAGCCTACTATTTAGGGATAATTTATAGCGATAATTTAACACTCTTTTACAACGAATTAAATAACGAGGAAACATTGTATTCTGCTGCTTCTGAACCAAACGAAAACTTAAATACCGGCGTAAGCCCATTCTTCATGCACGACTTTCGCAAACTATGATCTGCAAGCACAAATCAGAGGATTTAAATATCTTTACATATATAAGAAAGCAGCGCTGGTCATCGCGCCACACACTTGAACGCAATGTAGTGAGGTAGCCTGTCCGTGAAAGTTACGACTGCGAGTTAAGGAAATTAAAGTGTAACGTATGCTTCGCTGGCGACCATTTCAGGAAACCGGAGAAACTGCTGAAATACGGCCACCGGCCAGACTGGTTTTCCGCGGAGGGTGCGGCCGCGGCCTGACGCGCCACTCCGGAGCGCCGCTGAGCTCACAGCCGGCGGTGCCGTCCGGCGGCGTGTTCTCACCTGTCCAGGGAGCCGTTGCTGTCTGCGCCGCTGGCCCGACCGGGTCGGCGGACGCAGCGGGTCAGCCGGATCACCACCAGGGCCGCACCGTCACCCGGCCGTGCGGCGGCGCTCATCGCCGCGGCCGGCCCTCAGTCTCCTCCGGCGCCGCGCTGCCCGGCCGCACGGCACGCCTGTCCCGGCGTCTGGGAGCCGGGCGCGGGGCCGGAGGTAACTGCAGTCTGCGGTGTCCGCCCTCTCGACAGAGGGGCTATCCTGGGGTCAAGGCTGTGACTGGGGCGCGGCCCGACGATTGGGTGCCAGAGTCGCCGCCGCCCACCGGCCGTGTCCAGGTCAATGTGAGGTCACGCGGCGCCCACCGGCGACGCTCTCGGTCAAAGCATGGCGGTCGTTGCATCGCGTTGACCGCGGTAGTTTCGTCTCACGGGGCGCGCGGGCATCACCAGGTCACAGCCGAGTGCTGCAGCGTCACTTTGTAGTGTGAACAGTGATTGTAGTGTTCGATCACCGTGCCTTCGCCACTGTACAGAGCTCCTCGGGTCATCATCAAACCACGGAACGACCGTCGAGTCATCACAGGGGCACTGCATGACCGCCGGGCCATCATCGAGTCACCGCCTCACCGCAGCGTCATCGCCAGGTCACTGCATGTCCGCCGGTTCATCACCAGGTGGTCCCAGTGTGCCCGCCGGGTCATCGCCAGGTCACTGTGATGTGACGAAAGGCCGGCGTTTGTCGGGGGCGCGGCGCTGCGACTCCAGCGGCAGCACTACCGGCACGTGACCAGCAGGCGGGTCACCAGCAGCAGCAGCAGCAGCAGCAGCGGAGACAGGAGCCAGGCTGGCCGGCCGGGCCGGCCGTCACATGACCCGCCCGTGTGCATCGCCTCGGGCCGCTGACCGCCTGCGGGCATCAGGAGACGCGTTACAGTCCCGATGTCGGGTCACTGGCGCTGCCGGGGTCAGAACAGCGCGGAGCTAATTGGCGGCCACTGCAAAGGGACAGTTACTTTGCGAAGGTCGAGGAGGCGGTCCATAATCCAGAACAAGCCGTATTCCTGCATTTCACGTAGATAATTTATATAATGCATAGTGGTATTTGACACAGCATTAGTGGTGTGTAGGCATTTTCCAATCAAAACCAAAACGAAACAGCTATACTGATGATAGTGGTGATAACGACTGATGATGGCCAACAGTTGTAAACAGAACAGCGAAAAACAGTAACAGCAAGCGGCGAAAGTTCAAACAGATGGAACACCAACTCGCATGTGGCGAATGGCAGCTGACGTGTATTCCGGCCCTATCAATGCCGGTCCAGACAACAACTCCATTTGCTATTGCGGACCTGCATCATGCCGCTGCGTGACTCAACATAAATCCCACAGCATTAACTGGATAAAAGACCGGAGAAAAACGGTAATGGTATCGGACCAGTTGGCCCATGTGGTAATTGCGAGAAGCCATACCAGCGATCCCTGTGATCTAATCGCCACCACAAAAATAACTGCGTAAAATATATCAAGGGTTAAGGAAGATGATTTGGGGCAAGGCGTTTCAATGATTTGGTAACATCGCCTAACTAGCGAGTCATGCTTTCATATAAAACATCGCATGAATCATAAACACAACAAATATGCGTACCAAGCAGGAAGGGTTATCAATCATCACGTCGCACCACATAATTAAATATGTAAGTCACTTATCAGGCTGATTGCACGCGAAAGCGTGATTTGAGCAATCGACACATTGCATTACACCCCTCAGTGTGTTTGGCACCTGACAGGATAACAGCATGCATCAGCCTATCACTAAAACGCTTGCAACTCCGTGATACCTCACAGCCCAACCAATGATTGGCAACCGCTAACGTGAGGGATGACTTTTGATCCTTTTGTTCCATCATTATTTGGCTGTCGGTCCAGATAATTTGGCGGAAAACCTATTTCTCTGGTCATTCTTATTCAGAAAGTGTTATGTTGACATGATTGACGCGAATAATAGTGTGGAGGTTATGTCAAAGGCCTTGATAAACCACAGATTGCCTAACATCTTCAAGGTCCGGTAATCCTCCATAAAATAGCTGTAGATGATAACACTACGCCAAACGAAACCCTACGTTTTTCCGCATCACATATGTATCACAATGTCACTCAAATTTGAATAAAAGATAAAGTCAGACCAGGGTCAAGTCACGTCAAGTCCACATCAAGGTCAATACTAGGCCCGGTCAGTGCCAATGCAAAACCGCTTTCCGGTTCGCGTAAAATTTGTTAAAGGTGTCGTCGTGTTCAGGTTGCATCATTCATTGACATTAAATTCATCACAGAACATTTTTTTTGTGTGTAAAATTCAACCGCATGCGCGTGCGCACACACATGAGCGTACGTGCTGGGGTACAGCAGTTCCGGCCAAAATATGGGACTGGTGCTCTAACATTTTGGAAAGATCGGGGTCGCCGGGGCACCTCTCCCGCGTTGCTGACCAAGCAACACGACTATGCTCGACAGCTCGACAGGAAATTGGGTGCGGCACACATATCAAGCTAAAGTTCACCGTGGGGATTGCCGGCCATTATGGCGAACTCTGCTGGCAAAGGTCATCTTGACATTCACGTTCCAATGTCATAGTGTTGCTGCCAGTCCTGATCGTGTTGTAGCCGCAGCGGCGGCCAGGGCCTTCGGCATCGCTCAGTCGACTGGCACTCGCAGTGGCACGTTCAGGACAGCAGCAGCAGCAGCAGTGCAGGCGCGTATGGTCAACGTGCGCCTTCTAACCGACGACGTCACTGGCGGATAATCTAGATGCGTCTTTTAAAGTATGTCAGCCGATGTTAGCCTGCAGCTGTGACAGCTGCCCGCGCTACCGTTCGGCAGGCGCGCAGGAGACCCGACTTGAGCGCGCTTAGGTCCCAGTGTCTCAGGCAAAAATAGGGTAATATTGGGACAGTTATCTACACAAACCTTTGGAAGGGGATGCAAGCTCGCCCGCAGAATTCTGTAGAATTTAGCTTCTCAGAAAACAACAGCTCTATTTATTAGCCACCAATGCCAGGGTAGCAGCATGTGTGTCACTCGCGGCATTGGCTATCACACGGGCTCTTTGTTGGACGTGACCTTTGTCGGCAACCTGATACGATATCGCACCCATGACTTACACTGGTTGGAACGAAATCCATGGATTTAATGCACTGCATAAATATATACACAATACACAAGGTTTCTCCTGGAAGCGAAGGCGACCGTTCAAGCACTTCACTGGTACAAGCCCAGCTTCGTGATCTGAATAAATGCAGAAACGCGTTCAGCTGAAATATCCCAAATTGGTCATTCGACAGTGACAAACATTAAACATTTGGTTCACACATGCTCGGGAGGGAGCCGTTCCAAGGTATTTTTAAAGAATAATTTCCGAACGGCGTTCGGAGAACGGGAAGAGTTCAGTCCGATCCGCTAGTGGAGTGTTGGACGAAGCCGTACATCTCTGAGATAGTTTCTCAGACAATCAGACAATTCGATTTAGAACTACAACAAATCCATTCACCTCCAGTCAGATACGAAGGTCAGACGGAGGTCGAAACCAATCTGTCTTTTTGTCAGATAGCTGTTTATCGGGTAGGTTATGGTGCTTATCTCGTATTCGTTAATAGCAGGGACGGAAACAGGCATTTCCTACCACCGTCGTGATGGCCGGAGGCGGTCACTGATCTAAGATGACCCGGATTGACCTTTTTCTTTAGGAACATACCGCCCAGTGTTATCCTTGACGGTTGTTCCAATTCAAAAATCAGAACAATGTCGCAGGTTTTTGGTCACCATGGCCTTCTTAAGGTCAAACGAGGTCACTGCCCTGAAAGGGACACAGTTTATGTTTTGCTTAGAACAGGTATCTTGGCTCCAGGCATGAGAAGGTCTGAGGTTACTTGGGACACCATTCTTGAGTTCGACCTTATTTGACCTTGTTTGACCCAAATGTCAAGACCTAGGAAGCTCAAATATGGAAAAAGGGAATTCATTTTTAGGCCTACCTACACCGTGTATTTGGCGTATCAGTTTGCTATCCCTCTCAGTTTTAGATCTCAGGGGGTCAAATTAACCCCCATCCCAACCGAGCGCGTCGTAGTCAGCCGGCCGCCCGGGTGCATGTCTAACTGCATGGAACTGTTGAAGGTCTTCTCTAGAATCGGAGACTCTTGTTTGCCTCGGGTAGCAGGTAGTTAGGGCTGTAAATTGTGCCAATTTTCGATGCATTGATCTACTGTAAGAACAGTAATCTTAGGCTTTGCAAGAGGTGCAGGTGATCTGACCACCAGTGTTGTTATATGTGCTCCACACAACTCTCCCTACATCCACGGAATGGCCGGTAAACGCGTACATGCCGTCGTCCTCTGTACCGTCACATGCTGTGGATGCGGAAGCTATTGTCCCTCGGAACATGTCTTACAACAGCATTCATAGCCAGCATTCGTGCAACCGTGGCCGTAACGTGATCACTAATCAGCGCCACCTAGAGTACTTTCAACCTCTAAATTGACCCTATTAATGGTTCCAAAACAATCGACCGTAAGAACTCCTAAATGCCAAATGCGTGATTCGGACTTAACGGGGCTAATCCTGCCAGGGGTCGAAACAAAGAGAGAAGCGACTCGATGGCTCGCGGCCAAATGCCTCCCAATATATTTTTTCCGGGGTCTCGAACCTCAACGGGGCGTTTCGATGCTCTGATTGCGGTGCAGCCGGCTCAGCCCTGCACATCGATTGGCCCCGTCCTCCACAGACCGAACCGGTCCGGCCCTCCAATCTCCCAAATGATTGTCTGGTGGTTGGACAAGAACAATATTGGCTGAACGGGGATAACCGTCGCCGCGGCGACCGTCTGTGGACAAGAGCTACGGGTGACTTTGTTTCTGGTCGCCATCGGCTCGGTGTCTTCCTGTAGCACTTAGGTATGCCGTCGGTGTGTCAGACAAAGCTGCGGCTGTGACGAGGTAGCCCGACAGACAAAGTCCAATTATCGTCGACATTATCGCGCGGCCAGACGCCGCCACGTGACGGGCGCACGATGACATCTGCTGGCTGCAATAATATTGCTATAGAACGGTATTTCCATTTCGCTCTTTTCGATAGTTCCAGGAACCCAATCGCCAAGGCGACGGATTAAATTGAAGTAAATTGCTTTTTGGATGAGTGCACACCCCTGAGCCGCATAAGTTCCGGTGATTGCATGCACCTGAGTTTGACGCCACCGAATTCCAGGCGCGCTTGGCTATTCTCAAACAAAACGTTTGAGCATGCATTGCAAGACTCCTGAGCCATAGGATGACATCGGTCATTAGGCGACGACAGACGCCATCCGTGCCCAGGCATCAGATCACTTAGTTGTATTGATCACTTAGTTAACGATGTTATTAGGAGGAAGGCGTGACATTCGGGCTCACTGTCTTCCACAAAAAGATTCAATCCGAGATCCAGAAGGCCCTGCATGGACTCCTGGAAAAATGGGCAAAACTGGTAATGTAACGCTACTTTGCAACATAACTGCTTTTACCTGTACATGGTCACATGCACTTTGATACTTCTGTTAACGTTTCCTCTAAAGCTCTACTCAGGCAAGCCACCGCCTTTTCAACAACTTCATATGGCTGTCTTTGTGATCGGCTATATGACAACTATCAAGAAAGCATAGCATCACGAGCGTTATAGTGCCATATTATTGGGAACGTACATTGATTAATGTGCGTGGTGAAAAGCCCCTCCTAGCATTTATTCACACTCGGCTCAGCCATCCGATCGCTGATTCCGGCCACCACGAGATTGGAATGCCTCCTGTTTGTTCGCTGACAGACAGTACCGCCTGCCCGTGTTCGTTCGAACCGGCTGCTCTCATATATCAAACACACACAGA